TGGCAGGACCTCCCCCAGGAGATGGAGGAACCGAGATGCTTTCCCGGTCCCGGGCAGCTTGCAGGAATTTTGGCTGTCGGTAATGACAGCAGAGAGAGGGGCAAGGATGCCCCAGCATCCCATGCCCGTTTCGGACACAGCCACGCAGTGATAGCTCTGTACCCACGCAGTAACTGAGGAGTAAGGCGTTTGTAACCAAGACAACACCGTCATTACACGTACGTCAGGCTTTTTAGCAAAAATGAGTTTCAGTTCTGATCAGTGCTTCTGCCCCACAACCAGCCTGTGCCAATACACACCCCCGCTACGTCCACGGCAAGAAGTTGCAGTGCAGAATCAGTCCCAGCAGCCAGTAGGACAGGAAGAATCCGAGAATGCATTTGCTGAGCGGGGTAATTAATCTACAGTTCATCAGCAGCCTCACAACGGGGTTTTCAGAAGTCCCTTTCCCAGAGGAACCAGGAGATTTACCTAGAAGAGACTTCTCGGAGCAAGGTGCCACGGTTTGATGATCAGTCCCTTCGCTCCAGAGTAAAGGTTCGTATTCTTGAAGGAGGTGAGCGGAGAACCAGTACAGGATGGGCGAGGAGGAGCCAAGGAACCGGGTCAGCACCTGAAGACAACAGGGAGAGCAAAAATCACACAAATTGGAGGGCTCGGACTGTGACCAGCCCTGATCCCCAGGCACGGACGGAGCCATCTATCTGCCTCAGGATGCTGATAAAGGGGACTGAAATACAGCCCCAATTCGTGGTGCTAGGATTTATCACACTGAAATGAAACGCCTCTCAGCTCAACCTGCTTTATTTATTACAACATCTGTGTAAGCAGTCAAGCGGTGCCCAGGTTTTGGACAAGCACGGTAACTACTCGTCACTCCTTGTCACTGCCCAGCTCAGGAGCTGGGTGGGAGCAGCCGCTTCAGGGGAGATTGGAATCTCACCCTTCAATTACTTTTTTTCCCTGGAACCCCCAACTTTTAGTGCCACTAGCTGTGTCCTAAAAAGACCTTCAAATGCTTTCTAGGGACTGGTGACAGGCTCTGGATCCTTTCATTGCCATCCGTTAAGCTCGGCCCAACGTGATAATGGCCCGGTATCCTTTTCCTCCAACAGCCGACGCACAGAGCTTGGCAAGCCTGGCCTTAAGCACACATCAAACGCCACCCAACACCAGCCGGACCCTTTGATCCCCATCCCGGCGTTCTCATCACACTGAGCACCTCTCTTTGGGAACTCTCCAGCAGAGCAGAGGAACTAACTGGCTTTGGAAACTCTCTGTGGAAGTAGTTCCCAAAGAGGAAAAGCAAAGCTTTTGGTTTGCATTGCCCTGTGCTGCCCTGGAGCTCTCCCAGCTCCAGGCTGTGACCGTCACTGCCTCAGCCACCATGCCACATTCCCCTTAAGAAATCACTCCCGTGTGTTCCTACCAACGTCCTACCTGCACGTGCATGCAGAAGAATCCAAACGCCAACAGGACCGTGGCATGGACCACGTACACAAAGACAGCAGGGCAGCAAAATCCAGCTCTTGGTTTACCCTCTTCTTCACTCTTTCTTCTCTCTAGACCAAGAGTTAGGCAGTGCCGGGGGTTTGCAATGATGTAGCTCCAGGCAGCCCATGAGCCCAGAAGGGTGACAGGCAAAGCAAGCAAGAAATTTGGTATCTGTCTGAGCTCAAAATACCTTAGAAAGCCCACATTCCAGTAAGCGTCTTGAATATAGGAATAGACGACAGGGAACCGCTGGGAACACCAAGGGGGTTTAACCCCGTCCACGGCCGCCAGACAATAGCCCTTGTCCAGAGCCAGCTGCAGCAGCGGCTTGGGAACAGTCTGCTCCAGGCCGATGCCAGGACCACAGAACCTCACGTAAGCATAATACTGAAATAAAGCAAAAGGTAGAAAAATCCCAGCACACATCAGAACCACTGAAGATGCCAGGCTAAGGAGTTGCTTCCACAACAGAGGAAGCTTCCTTACTGATCCTGAACCCACCTGGAGCTGGAGGGCAAAGCATTTACCGCGGGAGTAGAGAAAGAAGCCAGCATTAATAAGGCCGTTGGCACGCACCCCAGAAGCAAGGGAGAAGAGCAATCCACTGAGCCAGCTTTGCCCCTTCTCCAGTTGCCACATGGCACTGAATGCCAGGAAGGCAAACATGCTCTCTGAGTAAGCAGCTGCCATAAATACGTTGGCAGGGCTGATAGAAAAGAGAACGGCAGCAAGGAAAGCCACCCTGCGACACTGCAGCACGACGCAGCCCAGCTTATACAGGGCAGCGGCTGCCAGGACAGAAAAGAGAGAATTAAGAAGCACAGCTGATAGCAGCAGGCGGCTCCGCAAACGCAGCAGCCGCTGCAAGGGCCACAGAGCACCCTCGGCCACAGCACGCACGCTCAGGGGGTACAGCGGGAAGAAGGCGCAGTTGTGCTCGTACAGGTAACCACGCTCGGCAATGAAGAGGAAGTGCTCTGCATCCCAGTGCGAGAGGCCGCCCAGCAGCCGCTCCAAAAGCAGGTCCCACAGGCCAGGCTCTGACAGACGAGGGGGAGAGAAGGCGTCCGCAGCGTGATCTGGGATCAGGAGGTTAAACAAAGCCTGGAAAAAAAAGAGAAGATTGAAGTCCAGCAGAGATCCTCTGCTACCCTACCGAAAGCACCAAGCAGGAGGAGGACTCCCCTGCGTTTCAAAGAACGGGACAGGAGCAGCACAGAAGCCAGGCTGAGGGGCTTTGCAGTAAGGGTGCCTGTAAGACTAGGAAAACGTGCAAAGGCAAGCTTTTCGAGCATTTACATTTGAACTGAATAAAGCTCTGGAACATATCCAGCATGAATCCCCATGGGACAGACAGGGAAAGCTGCTCAGCCCGACGCTCAGGCACATCTAAGTGTGTACGCTTGCTCCAGGTACCTCTGCAGCGCCGGTAAGCCTCCTGTTCTACTGAATTTGGCATTATTGTCCCAGCTGACATACAAGGGAGAGTGGACAAAACTAGAGAAAAATATTTTCCCAGAGCAAACTGATGCAGAGGATGGCAGCCAGTTCCCAGGCCCCCTCTCTAGTCTGTAGATCTCCATCGCCTCTGCAGCTCGGCAGGCGTTAAGGCGTTCACTTTCTGGAGACGAGCGAGCAGAACACACGCACCTCTGCCTCCAGGAGCTGGTGGTGCTGACCACATATTAAAAGGTGAGAGAAAAACCCAGAGAGCTCAAGAGATAGGAAATATGTAACTTAATGCATCGTAACGTAATTCCAAATGAAAATCTGTTTCAAAAAAACCCAAAAACCCCAAACCCCATAAACCTCAGATGGTAAGTTTTGTAGCTTAACTACATGTAGATTGGGATAAGTCCCCTGCAATGAATTCAGTGTTGGCAGAGAAAAGGCCACACTGAACAAATTGTGACTAAAAGACATCCAAAGCCGCTGTTTTACCATGAAGTACGCATCTGGTCTAACCAGGCCCCTGGCATTTGTAATACGGAGTCTTTTATCTCGGCTGATGGTTCCACTCAGCCCTACCCAGTGGTGACTGGGGCTGCCACAACCTGCCAGCTGGCCAGTGGCCTGCTGCTGAGCAGCTTTGCCCGGCTGATGCTGTTTCAGGAGGGCCACGGCTACAGCTCGACTCCTTCCCAGCTGTCTGGGTACGCACAGGTACGATGGGGTGAGCAACGAAGCTCTCCCATGCGCAGAGGACGTCTCTGGAAATGAGACTTGGGAGAAATGCGCAGGAGGAGATTTTTGTTCCTCTTCTGTGGATAAACAGAGACTTCAGCCTCTCCTGCTGCCAAACTGGCCTCTTGCAACAGCGGTGTGAAAACACGGTAAGTTATAAGGAAACGTATGTAATTTTACTTAACAGCAACCTGCCTCCCTGGATGCAGCTGGTCTGTTGGTTCTCCAAAGGAGAAGATGATTTCCCAATCAAGCAGAACCAGCTAGCTCACGGTGCGCAAGGCAGCACCGAAGAGAGAAGCCTTGGAGCAGCAAACAACAGCTGTTGCAGCATCTTTGGTTCAGGACAGGAGACTTGCCTGCAGCAGAAGTGTCAGGGCTCTGCAGCACGCCGCAAACCATACGACCCCTCGGAGGTGGGGGTCTCGCCTGCTCACCAGCTCCATTCTGAGCTTGAAAGTTGTCTCAGTAGGTCTCCGATGCCTGGGAAATTCTCCCTCCGGTTTTGGAAACCTGAATTGATAAACAGAAAGCACAGACACAGAAAGGTATTTCTGGCTTCAACCACGTTTGTAAATGATGCGCCTTTATTTACTATCAGGCACTTCAAAGGGCTGCAAATCTCTGCGAACAGGAAAGTCACTTATGAAAGAGATCATGGATCTGGGAGATGACGCAGAAGACCTCTTTGATATTGTTCCTATTGAAACAAAAAAATTTCCCTGACTTCTTAACCTTGGCCAGGATGCAGAGGGAGAGAGGTTATAACATGTAGTCTCAGCCCATTTCTTACCGGGCCAGTGTAAATACTAGAGGCAGACAGGCTCTTTGGCCTCCTCGGCGGCTGCCTCAGCAGAAACACCGGCCGCCCAAGCCAGGACTCCACCAGGCATCTACACACACATTCAAGTTCCAATGCACTGAATGGGATTTAAACTTTTTTTTTTTTTTTTTTGGAATAGAGACAGAATTAAAATGAGGACTCCGAGCATAACATCCGTGTAAGCAGTCTGCTGACCGGGGCTCGCAGCCGGACAGGCGCTGCCTGGCACGCTCTCTCCTCTCTCCTGTTCTCTGCCCTGCGTTTGCCCCTGGGAAGCCAAGCAGGGTTTTATTCAGCTGCCTCCACAGCACCGAGCCCACAAGCTCCGTGAGAGCAAGGCGAAGGTGCCTTCTCAGATACACAGGTTTCCCCCGACCCCTTCCATCGATCACAGACAGCATCTCCAGGACGTGACACTCGCACCACTCCACCCTCACCACCTGCAATTTTCCCATATTTTGGCAGGGGTCCTGGGCTCCGGAGTGCGGGCATCTGCCTGTCAAGCAAACTGCATATGCTGAGGTGGCTCTCATCCACCTCTTCCCTCCGAACCTCACCTGCAAGATTTAAAACGCTTCGTGGAGTCTCACTGCTTTTGTTTCTGTATATTCTGGATTGGCATTCGGGGACCAGCTCTGAAAACGCCTGGCCCAGAGCCACGGAAGGCAGGCAGTATCTGTTATGCAGCTTTTTAAGCTAACACATTTCTTCCGTTGGTTCCCCAGCCACCAACCGCTTTTCAGTTTGAGAAACAGAAGACCCACGGCTCTCGCCAGGTTCCAGTGACACCACATCCTGCACTATTTCCCACCTGCCATCTTTCTGATCCAGCGCAGTAGAGTACACAAAGATCCCCAAACCGATCACTTCATGATCTAAAAACACTCTGAGGTTTTCCTACTACCGTTTTACTGACGGAGAAAGAAAACCTGGCAGGTTAAAAACCGCATGAGAGAGAACAGAAAGCAAGTCATCAGCAAAGCAAAAAAACAAGATCCAAATACGCTCTTTTATAGCTCCAGTCCCTAACCACAGGACTATGCTTCCTATTTAGCCACATACAAAAGTTTTGGGTTTGTTCATATTCTCCTCTTGCTCCAGAGCATTCACAGCTACGGACAAAGCAACTAGCGGGAGGCACATTCTCCTGAACCCCGGAGCTGCAATGTTATTTTAAGAGAAGGGATACTTCAGCCCAGCTGTAAATTCTATTAAAGCGCATTCACAGCTGCAAATCCTATTAAAGCACAGCAGCAAAAATTGTCCCAGCACTTTAAATATTTTTTAAAAAAGCAGAGAAAAAGCCTCGCATGACTGTGCCAAGAAGGCTCAAAGCAAACAGCTTTAAAAAGCCTGTTCCTGTCACGACGCAGCACACCTTGTAACGGAAAGCAGCGAAGTCTACAAAAAGCTGCAGCCCACAACCACCGTTCTGGTAGAGAACACAGCGACAGGGCTGGAATGTCTCTAGCCTGAAAAGTGCTGCGTGAAAGAGCACCTGCACGAACGGAAAAAGGACACGAAAAGGCAGAACAGGTTAAGAATATTTCAGTAGAAAAAGATGCAAAGTCTTAATTAATGATGCCTTTCTCTCCCGGTTCTGTGTTTCCCTTTGCTCTCGGAGATGAATTACGTTTTGCTCGCTCTGGAAACCGTGCTAAAAAAAGGACGTGAATACGAACAAACCAGACGCTGGGTAAATTATCATGTCAATGAAAAGCTGAATTCGGCAGGGCCTGCAGCAGTGCAGTGGAGAGCGAGTACCACCCGATGGCAGCAGGCACTCGCCGCAGAGGGATGCCTTCCCTCCGCACACCCCGCGCTCGGCTCCTGGCTGGGATCCGGGATCCAGGATCCATCCCTCTTGGGAATCCTCCTCCAGTCTGCACCCCAGGCACACTCGGAGAGCAACGGCTTGGGCACCTCTTGGTACTTCTCCAGCCCACGGTTAGATCCTAGAGATACTCCAGGTGTAGTTAAGAACCCGTTCTAACCAGGATGCCAAAGAAATACAACTAAATTTTGGAAATCCTGTTCACCTAGCGCTGTTTTGGTGGGCCTGGGAGCTCTTGGTCTCGCAGCCGCTTTCGGTCCTGTCCGGTTTCAGCTGCTGGTCCGCAGGCTCCAGCCCCAGCTGCTTCACCTGCATTTGAATGGAAACGGGAACGTTTCTAACCCTTGCACCTTTTCTAACAGCTGACGTGTGTGAACAAAACCCGCGCTGGATCAAAGCGCAACCTGACCGCTCAGCTGGAGATGACGGACCCGCTCAGCAAAGGCTGCGGTGTTTAGATCAGGTCCGAGAGCACTGCAACGAGCCAAGCGTGAGAACACGCCACGGTCGCTTCCCGGCCTGTTTTCGTCTCTGCCTTCGCTATCGCACGCACCAACGTAACAAATCCCGCTCTGGAAAAGCACATCCACACGCGGACCGACTCCTGGTGAGACGCCGGGGACGCACACTCCATTTCTGCTGCTTCCTTCAGATGGCCAAAGCTGGTGCGGCCAACACCCAGCGTTTAAACGGACAGAAACGAAACGCAGGATTATTTTCCCTCGCTTCGGAGATAAGACAGGCTAACAATTTGTAAAGGCTCCAGCAGAGGCTGGATGATGGCTGAAGCGCTTAACAGGGCCGTTCTCCAGATGAGGGACGGCTCGTGTGTTGGTTACCGGGTTGGCC